TGTTTATATGGTACTGAGGAATCAAACCCAATGATTCATGCATGCTAGGCAAGCACTTTACCACTAAGCCACATTCCCAGATTCATAGAATTCTCTTAACCTGAAAAAGAAAAGGGCTCTTTCTTTTAACTTGCTACATTATGTTTGCAACTACACATATTCTGGTATAGCCTAGCATGGAACTTTAGATGTTCCTGTCTCAGCCTCCTGAAGGCTGAGATCACATATGTATACTATTATGGGCTGCAACTCTTTCATCATGGCTTGAAGCAGTCCATAATATTGTTCTAAAGACTCTTTTATATATGTATTTATATATTTATGTATGAGTAGATTTCTGTGGCTTTTACTGTTCTGTATTTTATTTTTGTTTTTTTTTAACTAGTCTTTTTAAAACTTTTTATGCTTTTTGGCATATTCTTTTAGTGATATATGTCTATATATAATCAGTGTTTTTATATTTGTTCAAATATTTATATATGTACTTACCTGGAGAATATTGCTTTTTGGAAGTCTTGTTAAAATGACAAACTATCAGAAATATTGGTTGTACAGTCTTATCATTCACATATGAATTGTATCCCTACATTTTAAATATTAAAATTAGTTCTGCAACTGACCTCCACCTTCCAGCCTCTACCAAACTTTGTGAATAAGAATCACATACAGATATTCTCAAGGTCCCACAGGGATGAAACAAGGCCTTACTTTCTTCTTCAGTCTCAGGGAACATGTCATGTTCTGAGCCCTTAAACTTTTCTTGCACAGTTATGTTTTCTATTTACGAGGAATTCTCCTTTGGCTTCTCCTTTGGCTATTTTGGGCTCAGAAAAGACTTTTTTTTTTTTTGCATTACTAGTTTTGGTATTCCTGTCTATCCACAGAGTTTATTTTCAGTTTCAACTTTCTGTGAAAATATTCATACTTAATAAAACCTTTTTGCAATGTAACTTATTCTAGCTTTAATTGAGTGAGTATAAGTTTACCAGCAACCATTTAAATCTAACTGTTCTTTTAAATTTTACTTCTACTAAGGCAAACAAAGGTAATAAGTGGAAGTATATGGTCTGGAGCCAGATTGTTTGGGTTTGAGACCATGTTTATTTGTTTATTCCAAACATGGTCTCAGATTAGTTATTTTATATCTTTTTGGTTTTATTTCCCTATACTGTTAAATGGTTGCATAATAGAATTATTTACCTCAGAGATGTGATGACTAAATTATATGCTTCTGGTACTTAGCACATCTCAGATATTAGCTCTTTGTATTTTTATGCAGTTGCTGTTCTTGTACTAGACTTTTATAGATAGTATTTTGGCATTATAATTTTCAATATGTATTAAAGGAGTTTCTGTAGCTCTTGATTCCAGGTTATAGTAAATCATCTTCCTTTTAAATAATGACAATGACTGTACAGACTATTAATATAAAACAGTAAGTTTTGAGTGAGACTGAGGGTGATTATAATATGGAAAAAATCACTATTCTCTTTTTCTTAACCCTTGTTTGCAAATACAGCGTCTTTTTTCCTTCTTTCTAATATGTCCTATAGACATAGTGTAAGTCACATGATTAAAAAATTAATAACTACAGTTGAAATAAAAAGAAATGAGTTTAATTTACTTCAACATGTGATCAAGCTAAACATTTTGACAGTTTTTCCATTTTCTCTCATACCTTTTTGTATTTTACACTATGCTCCTTTAGGAAGGACCTCTGTATTCAGAGTAACTACATTTTTTAAGTGGCATACTTACAGTTTGAATGAGTTTTAAAGTTATCCTCTAAGTTCGGTTTTGTGATACTTTACAATTGATAAAGTTAGATATATTGCATAGGTAGGTAGAAAGTTAGATATATTGAATAGGTAGGTAGAAATAGTTTATTGTATTAAAAGGGAGTTATGAGAGAAGTTTGAATGTGAGAGTGATCACTAAATATATATGTGGAATTGTAGTCCTGATATTAGGAGCAGAATGAAACTATATTATCCCTACAAACAAAGTCCAACAGAATTTCTGGAAAAGGAGTACATTGTAAAACAGGCAATCTCTCCAGGAGAGTTACAAGGAATTGGTACATTAGAACCCAAAGGAGAGGCTTTTGGGTGAAAACTACTGAAAGTCAGAATCTAGTCAAAAAGTGAGTGAGAAATGAAAATAGACACTTGATTAGTTTTTGCCAAGTCAGCAGTAGCTATTTTAGTAAGGTGATATTTAAGGAAACTGTGTTGTGTTAATTTAAGCATTGAATGGAACTTGAAGTAAAGACATGGGCTTGTATTATTTTATGAAAATTGTTTGGGTTGAAGGAGAAGGAGCCAGTGGAGAAGAAAAGATTGAAGATAGCAGAAAAGCTCAAAGTCCAGAATTCAGTGTGTATCGTACAAAATTAAGAAGAGTGAGGGAAGGGGTGGGAAAGGGAGGAATGGGTGAGAATATTGAAAGGGGCGACATTAATCAAGATGTATTCATAAACTGCTTTTTAAAGTTACTTTGCCTTTGTATAATTAAAGATAATTTTTTTAAAAAAAGCAAGGGTGGGGAGAGGAAAACACATGGATATCCTGGAGTACCGTAATGGCTAAGGGTCTGCACAGAGATAGAGACATGTGTCCTGGAAGAGGGACAGCCATAAGATATGAGTTCAGGTGTTATGAATTAGGAAAATTTGTGTTTGAAAGAGTAGATTCTTAGCTGCAGAGTTTGTAGTTGCTGGTAATAGCTTGAGTTACAGACAGCTAATGGTCTGTACATTAAGCATATAAGGATATGTATATTATATATTATATATCACATATACACATTACATGTTAATTAATTTCCCAAAGTGTTAAGGAACTGAACTTGTTTGTTAATAGCTTGGAAACACACCCTGTGATGCCAACATTAACAAAATGCTTCACCATAGATATTTCCTCAGAGTTGGCTACCACCTTGATTACTCACTTCTGATATTTAAATCCTGCGTGAATTTGGTTGAACCTGGATTTCCCTTTGCAAAGCACAACGCAGGAGAATATTGGAAATGTACTCTTCAGCTTTTGAGAAAGGGGCTGAATTACTGGCTGAGTGGTTCTGGCTCATGAGTTTCAGTCAAGGTATCAATCATAGAGGCAATCGTGTAAGGTTTTACTAACCTGGAGGGTTTGCTTAGAAGAAAACTCACTCACAAGGTTGTTCATTTTGGTTGTTTACTAACAAGCCATGTTGACCTTGCCATGAGCCTGGTTGAGTCACTTACAATATGGCAGCTGGCAGCTGACTTCTCCCAAGATGAGTTATTTAACACAGAGATAAGGAAGTTTGATATCTTTTATGAAAGATAGAATCACTTCCAATGCTTTCTCTTGGTTATTTAGACTAAATCTGATACAGGAAAGGGCATCACACAAGGCTTGTGTTCTCTGAGGTGAGGATTATTTGAGCTTTCTTAGGCAGGAGGGTCTAATGTCCCTTTTTTCATTTGACAGTAGAAATTGACTAGATTTTTCTTTAGGAGCAAAAGCACTTGGCAGTAATTTGAATAGAACATGGCTGACTTGTTTTCCCTTTAAGTATATGAAGTGCACAGTATTTTCAGTCAGGTTTTTAAAGAATATCAAAATGCTGCTCATTTACTTGCTCTCAGGCTTATCTTTTAAGGGTAGACTGTGCATCATAAGCTTATCACTTACCTTAAGCATGAGTACAGACAAAGTGACTGTGATACTTTGTTTTCCAGAGTACCTTTACTGTTCTCACCTTTGAAATGATCATGTCTGACTAGCTGTCTCTTCAGTCTCTTGATCTCACCTGTTGCAGACTAACTGATCAGGAATTAGAGTAAAGATCTAATCTAATCTGTGACATATGATTCAGTTTATATAGATCATTCTTTCATGTCTTGGTCTTACCATCTTTACTTCCTTCATGCCATGCACCACAAAATGAAGTGATTTTGCTGATATACTTGCTTGTCTCCTTGCATCCTCTCCTTGTCTTTCAAAATTAAGTTCCTGCAGGGCAGAGCTTTGTTTGTTTGACTTTCCTACTAAGTGCCAAGTAGATGCTGGATATTCCAAGAGGTGTTTGTCTAAATAGATTATTTTTTGAGAGGTTATACTACATGCCCATTATTTTAAAAGAGGCCATTTCAAAAGGTGATTCCCCTGGCCCCCTCCCTCCCCCATGTTTGATTTCTTCCTTTTCATGCCTCCTTCTTTTCCCCCCTTTTCCTTTTTGGTGATGTGTCCCAGTTTAAGAAAATCTGTGGCTTTTCTATATTGTCAAAGTTGGTCATAGTCTTCTTCAACCTAGTTTGTGAAACAGGTTATTCTGATTTAGTAATTACTGTTAAAAGTTACTCTTTTAAGATGTATTTGGGTATATGGTAGCATCTTAGTTCTTTTCAAGCCTGTGTATTGCTTTCGGGAACATAGGGCTGCATGAGTCAAGTAACTTGCTTATATATAACTGAGTATTACTTTCCTAGAAAGTAGTGCTTTGTGTTATTTACCACAGAGTAGCATCTCTGTTGCTTCCACAAACCTGGATTGATTATTGGTATACATTTCAAATTACCTCTGAGCTTTTAGACAGTCCTCAACAGAGATTCTTAATAGTTTTTGGATTATGGATCTTGTAAATCTGACAAACTCTTGACCTCCCCAGAGAGATACTCAGTTACACATACCTACAAGTTGACCTAATCACAGTACTTAGACTTTAGATAGGCATTTATTGAAGAAGGTTAATGACCTCTAATCTGAATAATAATAATAATTAGCATTTTTATTAATGATTGATTTTGGGAAAGCCTTGGGAAGACTAAAACTTCCCTTTTTAAAATTAGGGAAGAATCACTGAGATAATTTCTATTAGTAGTCATTCTTTTCTCATCTTAATATATCCAAGAACAGACTAGATCATCTATGTCAGCTCTTGTCTATGTCAGGATTCAGAATTCAAACTGGATTTATTTTGAAGATTACATTTTAACTATATTCTTTATTTTACAGGTACCTTTACATTAGACCAGATTTGAGTATATGTAAAGAGACATCAGTCTATCTGGATTATCAGGTAAGTAAACAAGAATTCATTATTTTTTTAAAAAATTACGATAAATTCATCCTCCTACCCGTATGTGACATTTTCTGTCATACGTTGTTCAGGTGGATTAGGAAGATAATATTTCTGAAGAAAAGGATACAGTCTTTGTTATATTGTACCAGGTCATGTCTTTGCCACTTGAAATCAAATTTCTTTATCTCATTATTATTTCATATACTCACATTTAAAATGTATATACTTATTTTTTAAAAAATGTATATACTTTTGGAGAGTTGTGGACAGCTCGTGTATTTTTTATTGGTTTTCATCCAAGTTACACACATTTAACTCCTTTAATCTTTCCTTGTAATTGATTTAGGTTGGCTGCTTTTTCCAGATTTTCTCATTTCATCCACCATACTAAGGAACAGAAAAAAAAAATACAGGCCTATTGCCTGGCTTCTATACCTTTTTGCTTTTGCCTAACATTCCTTGTTGAACTAAAGCCAGCCAGACATCATTCTTTTGACCATCTTGGCAATACATGAATAAGTTGCCTACAACTATCAATGTCTTACATAGTAATAGCATCAGCAGTATATGTTAGTGAAAAGAAAGAAAAATATAAAAGGAAAACAGTGAGGTGCAAAATAATGCTTTCTTTAATTACATGGCACACTTATTCATGCCACCCAAAGTAAATCTTTGTACCTGAACTCCTTGATACAGCTTTTGTCATTGTAAAGCATTGTGCACAGGCATTAATTTGAATCATAAGAGAAACATGGATATTGTGCGAAATTTGGCCACTGTTTTCACTCAGTTTCTTCCTCACAGTCACTCCCCCACTGCCTTTCTGAACACTGATCGTGACTTGTTATCAGATTCTGTGGCCATGAACAAAACTGGGCAGGAGATCATTTTGTTGGAAATTAGATAGGCTCAGGTGGTAAATGCTCCATGCCTCCATGTGTGACATCTGAGGCAAGTGCTTTTAGTTCTTGCTATTTCTGTAACAGCCATTGGTCTTCCTTTAACAGCTGATCTAATGGAGATGTGCAGGAGGAAGGGACCAGTAGACTTTTGGTGCTTTTTATCAACACTGAATTAGTTGTACAACTTTCTCTCCCTTTATTGGAAGGGAGAAGCATAGATGATGCTGAGCTTAGTGTAAAATATACCAGCATGGGCTCATGGGCTCTGGACAGTTCATTCTGTCATTTCATTTGGTATATAGAAAATGCATTAGAGAGAAAAAGGTCATACTCTAGGAGATAATGGCTTATTGTGTTTTTAGTCACTAGATTCAAATGGTATATTTAGTTGAGGGGTAAAACTAGACATACTTGGCTTTCTCATTCGTGTTAGCTTTGCTTCTAGTACAGAATTGAATAGGATAGCAGAGACGGTTTTCCTGTTTGTGTCTGTGGCAACTTTCTAGATGATTTGTGGTTTAATCCTTCCAGAATATTAAAAAAAATAATTTTTCACCTTGTTCCTTGTGAAGACATAAAACATTCAGATTCTGGTGTTATAATCTTTTCCCTAGATTCTTTAATTCTGGAGAAACCAAGGTCAGAATAGCATCGGACAAAGTTGTGTCTGTGTATTGTCTTAAAAATTGCAGTATTTATGTTAATTCTTTTTTTGTGCAGATTTTATAGCTTATCTTCTTACTATCAGATTTTAAATAAGATTACGTGATTGTGAATTATGTATTTTTTGGTTTCTGGCCTCTTAAGCGGATAGCTATATGACTTGGACTCCTTGTAAAGTCTGAATTTTAAAAATGTTAATCTCACATGGCTCTTAAACTGTCAACAATATTGTACTCAATGTTAATTTTGTAAGGCAATTGATACATTCTTCAGCATAAATCTTGTTCCTTGGGTCTTTTCAAGACCTGTCAAAGAAAACAAAATGCTAACCTGACTTTAAAGGAGGGAAAAAAAAATTACCCCCGCCTCTTACTATATTATTCTTTGTTCTCTAATGTGCATCAAAGTGACAATCCCACACTGTCTCAATTCAGGGAGTCTAGCACAAAAATAACAAACAGCCTGGCACTGTTATAGGCTTGCAGCCAAAATGTTTTGTATAGCTTGGTTCTGGCACTGGGTTTTCATGAGGCAGAGGGTCTACCCTCACAGGATCACTGAAGGAAGGCATGAAAATCTTCATCTTTGCCACTACAACATTTCTTTCTCTTCGTGTCTTCTCTTTCTTCATTCAGAACACCATTGTGAAAATAAGTTTTATTTTTATGAAGTATTATTCTTTGTACAACTTCCACATTTAGTAAATGGCATTGCTTCTTTTGAAAACAAAAAGCAAAACAAAACAAAAAACCCAACCTTGTACTGATTTTACCTTATCCAGCTTCATTGAGATTTCCTTTATACTCGCATTTTTGGCCACATTTTGTGAAAGACGACCCCTATGAATATTGATAGCTTTGGCCCTGTTGACATGATACTTTTAATTGGTTGGAATCTTGTCTGTCATAAAGCTTATTATTAGGATGGAAACTTTAGGACTAGTTACTTGCATTATATGGACTTTTATGGCACAATATCTCTTGAAAACAAAAGGTCTGTCATTGTTTTCTATTTTTACCTAAAACTCAAGTCAGTTCATATCTTTCACAAATTGAATACTCATTTTTAGAATATCTGATAAGTATAGCTAAAATAAGCAAGTGCATTTCCATGAAAGTAAGTGGAGTACATTTAAATTCTTTCCTTGAACTCAAAATAAGAGAAATGCTTTTAAATTTTTCCCGATTGTCATAAAATTATAGTTAGCAACCTACTGTTAGAAGTGTGAAAATGTGGTATCATGAGATTTAAATGAAGCTAATTTGAGCAGGAGGTTAGATATTTTACTATGAGCACGTGTTCTGTGAAAGTTAGAATGTTCCTCAAAATGTAAATTTATTTTCTATTGTATTAACTAAAAACAAATGATTTTCTTTCAAGGGATCTATTTTAAAAATTAATGTTTTATAATCAAGACAAGAATAAATCAGCAGACTTTTTAGGAGGAGATTCACATTATTTTGACAGATTTTTATTGAAAAAATAATCAATGACTTGGCAATAAGAAAATTACTTTGAAGTAAGAATGCATATATTTTGTAACAATATAACAAATATTACTGAAAAGAAAATAAACAGTGGTTCATGTTAAAATTATTAATGTGAACTATTTTTATTTGCCATATATATTGGGAAATACACCTATTATGGATACATGAAGATAAAATTGTGCACTGTAACAGTGTTTTTTATTTCGATATTTATTTATTTATTTATTTTTTTGGGTCTGGTCATGGGGCCTGAACTCTGGGCCTGGGTGCTGTCCCTCAGCTCTTCAGCTCAAGGCCAGCACTCTACCACTAGAGCCACAGCACCACTTCTGGCTTTTTTCTTTTTGCTTATGTGGTGCTGAGGAATGGAACCCAGGGCCTCAGGCATGCAAGGCAAGCGCTCTACCACTGAGCCACCTTCCCAGCCCCTCGATATTTATTTTTAAATTGAGAAATGTTTGAGAATTATTAAATGGGCTTGGAAAACAGATATCTGAGAAATGTTCATGAAATAAACTCACCTGTTATTTTCCCTCATTGAAAACAGGTTCAGCAACATATTGGCTCATTGCTTAAGCAAAACAAACAAATACAAAAATTGCTTTTTTATGTACAATGTACATGCAATACATGCTACAATTGCTTCTTTTCCCCAGTGCTGTTTCTTAAAACTTGTATTAAAGTGTCTTTTTTTTGCAGAGGTATTAAAAAGAATTTTGGTGGGTTTCCTATTATATTGAATTAGTCTAACATTTTTAGGTCCTGACTGATAACAGTATTGTAAAAAGGAATTGCATTGAAACTTTTTCTTTGGGGGGGTGGGTATAATTTAAAGGCTTATTACTATCTTGTTTTGAGTTCCTACTTCCAAGGTCTATAACATTAAATTTATGATTAAAGACAACATGAACTATAATCTCATTCTTCATGTTCACACATATTGAATGATGTTTACTTCATATTAAATGTTTATTAACTTTATTTTCTGCTGTGGTATAACTTTTCTTTGCAATTAAGTCCTTTCTTTTTTCTGTGGTGAGAATGTATCTTTGAGTCACAAGATGTGTAACATTCATCATCTTCTCTATTTGTTTATGTTAGCTACCTCTGAACAAAGGAGAAATATAGAATGTTTAAGAATTAGAATGACTAAGCAACTTTTTCTTGGTTAGTACTGATGAGTTTTCCATTTTGTAGGCAATAAATTCTACATTCCAAATGTAGATAAAGTTGTTTTATCTTTATTTTTTGAATCACATAGTTTCAAAAATTATGATATAATAACTTAATAATTGTATTTATGGAAATATGGAAAAATGAACTTATCTAATAACAGAAAATCTGGATAAGAACTATTTATTATTTTATGTAGGATTTATTAAATTAAATACCAAGTTTATGATAATTAATATTTTATTTCATTAATAAGGTGTTCAAGCATAACTTTTTAGTTAATGATTTTTAGTGTCAATTGATATCAAGTAAGTAACATAATCACAAATAATGATTTGTAAGTTTATATTTTATAGTTAAAAACTAAGTAATCTTTTCTTAGACTTAGGGCACAAGATTAAAATTAAACAGAGAGTACTTCATGCAAGGGTATATCGTTTAACTCCCTTTCTAATTTTTGATACATTCTAATTTTTCCCACCCCTAGCATGTTATGTTATCATTCTGTAAAATCCTTTCACAAGTATTTCATATGTTTTATGTGGCATCTCACATTGCTCACTTATTATCTATGGTACCATATGAGTTCCCCTTTTTCAGGTTTACACTGCATATTTTAAGCTGCTGATAGTGTATGCAAGGTAAAGTGACATTTAGCTTTTTGAGCTAGTCTCACTTTTAGTATGAGAACAGTTTTTTCTTTTTTTTCTATGTCCTAAATCTTCTCACATTTCCCATTAAAACAATCTTACTAACATTGAACAAAGAA